TAGGTAAATAGAATAGGCTAGGAATGTGTACGAGTTTCATTCAACCACACATATCCACGAGTGTTATCCTCTTCCTCCGACTCCAGGACTTCCCAAAGCTTCGGCGATTTACGGTTTACCCCAGACAGTAATGCAAGCTAAGATAAGTATGAGATTTCTTGGATTACCAAGATGGTGGCAGCATACTAAAGAGGGTGACGGAGAGGGATATTTCCTCGCCCTCCGTCATCACGGCAGGAGATAAGTGTAGCGACAGCTAGAGAGAGGTACAGTGGCGGAAGCGGTGGAGGTACCTCCACGCCCCCCTTCACGCCATAACAACAAACATTATTTGAAACCTTTTTTTTTGTGCTGAAATAAGAAAACCATTTGCGGTTGCAGTCTTCGGTGGGACATTCTGTATCTGTGTATGTACATATATATAAGTAGGCGTGCATGTTGTAAATAAAGCTATAGAAAAGAACAAAGGATATGCCAGACTACAATGTTATGAATTTTGTTTAGCTATTTTTAGAGTTTCTTAGTCTGCCAAGAGCTGTTACTCTATGTCACCAACTACAGGTTATAGAATAAGGAATTTATGTGAATTTGATTTGTTTCATTCTGGTCTGTCATACTAACAATTACAAATACAAACCACTCCGTCCAATGTGACAGTGAAAACAACACAGCAAGCCATGAACAAACCCTGGACAACATCAAGAACCTCATCAAGATAGACAGGCGGCACAAAATCTGCCCCATACAAGAAGGACGATAGGAGTACAGACACGAACCCATGTGGTTTAAAAAAATTTTAACTATTGAAAATAAAGGTTTTTTAAATAACATCTAGAAACTTTTAAAAACTTTACAACACCAGGAAACTGCTGTGATTGTGAAATGTTCGACTTTATGCGTACTGTGCATTATAGGATATAAGTATATGTATTTTAAATCAAAACACCTATTGTGATGGCAGTTTCCAGTCTGTAATAATGTTTCTTCTGAAGATGGCCCGTAAGGACTGAAACATGTAAGGGAGATAAGTTTTAACGTAGTAAAAACTTATATGTCACATTGGACGGAGTGGTTTGTATTTATATTTAGAATTTATGTGAAGTTATTATAACAGACAGTCATTCACTTTTGAGAGGCAAAATGCATTATGGCACAAGGAGTATAAAATAGGAATGGCTTGAATCTTTTAATGCTTCAGGCTAGCTCATTTCAAGAAATGGTTCACACAAACCTCAGCCTAAATGCTTCAATGTACACAAAGAAAATTATAATTATAAAGAGAAAGCCAACACTGATCTAATAAAAATGTACAAACCTTTTCTTGCCCGAAAATGCAGTGGTTACTTCAGCAGCCTTCCGTTTCTTGCTTGACTTAACACAAGGTGTTGAAAAATCAGGCGTGGATGTAATAAGGTGACTTTCGTCTACTTCTGGAGTTCCCTTCCCAACCATTTTCTTTAATCCATTCAACATACCTGTGGAAGGAAACCACAGAGTAAACTTTTAAGCACTACCACAGTTCTTATTCATATTCCAAAGCATAAGCCCCACCGCCACCACACCCTTCAACCAAAATAATTTATATAGAAGCAGTAAAATGCTAATACATTAACATAGTTTCATGTTACAGGGAATTTAACCTTGAATAAGTATTTGAAACAGAAGCAAAGATAAATTTGGAGGAAAGCAGGAACGTGGAGACTGCCAGAACACTGTTTGCATAACAAAAAATATTTCAAATCCATCCCCATGTACATGTCACAATATTATAGAGCATGACTATACATGGGGCTTGAATTGATAATCAGATTTATTGCATTTTTTTTATTCACTTAGTGGTGGATGGAGTCCAACTGGGTCCACTCGGCAGAACGGCCACTGCTTGGCCTATTGTAGCCGGCCCCGGGTGATTATGATGATGGGGAATTTGGTGGAATGAAGATTGGCAGGGGAAAACAAAGCACTCGAAGAAAACCTGCCCCAGCACCAGTTTGTCCACCACAAATCCCACTTAACCAGACGGGATAGAACCTGGGCCGCCACGGTGGGAAGTCAGCGACTAACCACTTGAGCTATGGCGCGGCCCTGATTTATTGCATATTTATACATACAACTCTTAACTAAAAGTAACTATGGTGCTAACACTAATTTATCCAATATTCTTCTCTCAAGCTTAAGTCCATACATTGATGAAATTACTGGGGATCATCAGTGTGGGTTTCAATGTATTTGTATTATTATTATTATTTAGAGAGGGTGGGTTTCCCCATGCACCGTGACCAGTTTGATCTATTGTGCTTCCCTCTATGATATTCTACCAGTCTCCATACCCTACCGATAAATGGTGCGTACCATCAGTC